CCCCCCCCCCCCCCCCCCCCCTTCAAATAATCTTTAATCCGCCCTTGGCTTGTCACACCTAGCTAATTATCATCAGTTCTGTGGTAGACGAGTATTTTGGAAAATTTGAAAGAGGTACAAAAATCACACCTTTCTCTCTCTCAGAACCAATGGAAATATAAGAAAGTAATCATGAGTGGGCGAAATGTTTTAATAAACGTAGAAAACTTTTTTACTTATAGATGTAAATCCTTTAAAGCACAGAACTTTTAAAAAGATTCTTTTACGACTGTTAAAAACTAAAAGCTTGGAATATTAAAATAGTTGTGAATAGGAAGAGAAACTATCACTCATGATAGACGATGTTTTAATTGCTTCCCTCGCAAGATAAATAATTCATATCAAGTCGCTTGTCTTCTTTACTGACTTTTCCAGTTTGAAAAGCAAAGTAAATCATGTTTGATTTCAGTTATTTTTCTTATTCTTTACATTCACAAATGTAGACAAATGAAAGACAGTTAAACAAATACATCTATTTGCACCGTGCCTAATTGATATCCGGACCCCGGATAACTGACATTAATGCCGTTAATCTCAAAAGAACTGTAATTATCACTAATGAATTATGTAAATGCAAAGTATTGATAAATGATAGAATTATGTACAAGTTCTAATAAACTGAAACTATAATGTTTTTATTATATAGCATCCAGACGCAGTCAGTCCGCTGAAGCTGGTACCCGATGTTTTTTTTTACCCGATGACTTTGGGGATCGATCCACTCAACTGCCCGTAATTGGTAAACCCAACCTTGACCTATATTATCTTCCAGCCTTCTTATTAAAGCTTTTATATTTGTACAACATCAATAAAATTTCAATCTGAAAATGTCTATATAAATGTCACATGACAGAAGGAAAAAGCATTATTATGTCTTGTATATTGTAAAATTAAAATTTATCTTCTACCCTTTTCTGAACCAAGACAACAGTTCTTGGAATGTTGAGTACACCAAGCAAGCCAACACAGATGTATATCTGTATTAAAACTAGAGGATCAGAGAGGCGATACCGCCTCCTGATATAGTACCACCAGCTGGAGCAAGCGCATTCATATGGACCCCGCCTCCCCCCCCCCCAAAAAAAAAGAGACACCACCACCAGTCTTATGCTTGACAAGCTCTATAAAATGCAATCAACAAGAATTCTCAAAATATGCAAAAAAAATATAACCAAAAATAGTACAATCAAAATTCAGTTCATCATAAAAAGTAGGTCAAAGGTCAATTTTAAAGTCACAGTTAATTGCCAGTATATGACTTCCTATTAAAGTTCAATAGTAACTATGGACCTATCTCTGCCAGTTTTGGAGATAAAAGGGAACAAAAATTTGCAAAGTTCAGTTCATGGTGAAAAGTAGGTCAAAGATCAATTTCAAGGTCACATTTAGATTGCCAGTAAATGACTTCCTATTCAACTTTAACTATAACTATTGACCTATCTCTGCCAGTTTTGGAGATATAAGGGACTGTATGTTACAATTCTGAGTTACAATAATGTGCCACCACAATGTACTTTTTTTTACAGCATAACACGAAAACCGTATGAAATACAAAAAAATGGAGACCACACTCAATGTTGGGCTTTACATGCTCTACAAAATGCAAAAAAGAATGGGTCTCTAGCATTAACGGTTTCAACTCCGCTGTTACTAAGCTGTATCATTTGCCACATTTTTAAACACAACAAAAATATCATTATTACGAATTAAACAAGCTCTTCCGATAATACTTGTCATGGAACTTTTTTGTTGGTCATATTTGGGTTAGCACTTCTTTTAATTCAGTCCATTAATCCAGTTAATATATGTGCTAACTACTATGTAAAAATACAGCCTCATGGTTACGTCTTGCAATCTGTAAAGCTTACAGGTTAAACAAGATTTTAAAAATCTGTTAACTGATTTCTTATTGTTAAATCAGCAACAAACAAACCAATTATTGGTATGACAGTTCTTTGAGGAATATTTTATTTGCAAGCATGAGGGCTCAAGTTTCTGCAAACAGCAACATCAGCACAAACACTATATTCAATCAGGAGGACTGACTCTTTAATAGCGTAACATTTTATCTTGAATAATTAAGTAAACAGGAATCCAATTCTTCATCAGAGCTGAAAGACTGCAGCCATACAAGAACATATATTTTGTATGGGTTTGATACATCATTTCATAATAAAGTTTCATCATAAGTACCAACATCTATTCTGCTTTCTGCAAGATATATTTCCTCCTGAGCTTTGGCTGACATCTGTGGAATGATCATCAAGAATTTTTGAATTTAAATGCTCAAAAATCTTTGGTCTCATAAAACTGTATCAGTGACTAAAACATCAGTGTTGTAATTGTTTTCTTTCACATACAAAGTCTGGCGTGCTGATGTCCACATCATTTCCTCCATGGAAAGCCACCGTTCCTGCAGGTGCCCCAGTCTGAACTCGCCCTCACCACTGGAATGCAGAGCCTTGCTCATACTGAAATCATAGCAACAACTATTTCAATATGCAGGGGAACCATTCGACATGATTACCAAAAATATAGGATTCTGACTTACAATAAATAAAAAAATGTATTTTTAAAGAAACTGCTGCAATGGTTGTACCAAATGTGCCTTTTAGAATAAACTGTTTGATACTGAATACTTTATTTTGTATGATGCATTTGATATTAACTAAAACTGCTTAACAAATATTTTCTAAAATTCTTTGAGAGAGAGAGAGAGAGAGAGAGAGAGACATCTTACCTTCTTCTTTGCAGAAAGAGGCACACAACAATAATGATTGACCACTAATAGGATGACCACAAGTATAATGGGGACCACAGTGGCAGCTGTTTCTGAAATAGCACATTTACTGGGAATGTTTCAACTCAGAAAGGGAAATAATCCATCAAAAAAGTATCAGGGACATATTTACAATGATAAAAATTACCATACAACAATATTCCAAGAACACTGACATAAGATGAATATCCTTAGATACAAAACGTTAAAAGAAACTTACCATGAGACACAGTCACACCTGTGCCCCCTGGTGTGATGAGGCACAAGTGAGTGCGGCCACCGTTGCTGTCCCAACAGACATTTGCACCTAAAATAGGCACACCTGTAAACAATAACAACAATAAAGTTCTTAGTCATATTATATATCAAGCTTCCATGTAATTTGGTATCCACAGATGTCCTTACATACCTACATTGAAATATTCTGTTGCAATCACTCAACTTCTTACAAATTCTGTAAGGACAAAATACTTAAAATTTTCACTTAATTATATCAGTTTAATTCTTGAAAAATGAACAGATAAAATCAAAATTCACAAAATGAATATATTTAATCCAAAATTTAATATTTTCACTTTTATATTTGACTAAATAGTCATTTCTTGGCAAAATCTAATGTAAACTAAATAATTCTTACAGTACCTTGTATCTGTTGCAGAGGGTGCATGACCTTGAGGTCCATGGGCCTGTGAATTGTGTTGACCAGTGATGTCTGGTTAGTGCCTGTGTACTTGTCAGCTTTTTCAATACTCAGATGGTTCCAGTCAGTCCAATATATCCAGTCTTCAAACACAGCAATGGCAAATATGTGGGCTATTCTGACTTCTGATATGACCAATTAAC